CGTGCTTTTGCTATTTTTCTGTTCCTGCCTGACATTCTACTGAAATCTATTTAGACACACCACACAGTTTTACCGCCAAACAGTTCCAATGAAATCCGCCCTGACTTTGCGACTTTGAGTGTCTGTGATGGAAGCTGGAGTGATCACTTGCAGAAGTGGTGACTCATCACAACTGGAAGTTCCCCTTTTGAGTTTGGAGGTTTTTAAGAACAGATTAAACAATGATGGAAATTCCACTATGGCCCCTGGAAGTCCATTCCAATGCTTAAACTATCCTTATAATTCAAGTTTTTCCTAATATCTAACCTAAAACTCCCCTGTTGCAGATTAAGCCCATTATTTCTTCTCCTATCTTCAGTGGACTTGGAGGACAATTGATCACCATCCCATTTATAACAGCCCTTAACATATTTGAAGAGTCTTCTCAGGTCTACCCTCAGTCTTCTTTCCTCAGGACTACACATGCCCAGTTTTTTTTAACCTTTCCTCATTGGTCAGTGGGACAGAATACACCCCTGTATTCACACCCTACACCATTGTAATAATCTTTGTACAATGTACGCCTTGGAAGGTATCACCTGAAAGCTCATAATTTGTTGATCAATATTGTCATGGTAAAATGTATGTGGCAACATTGTATGTGAAGTTATAAGATTCCCTGTATAATGTTATTAACACATGTGCCAACCCCCACAGCCCTGCCCAAACTAAGGTTGACAAACAGGTCTGTCCTAAACAACGGAATGTGTACTCTGCTTAACTTGCATGTAAGCAGTAAACGCAGCCATCAAGCAGGAAAGGAAACAAAAAAAGCTCAAACAGGTGAGGAAAAGCCAGCAGGGAATATCCTTCCACATAGACTCTGTCTCCTAGTGCACATCTGGAAATGTTTTCAAGAGGGGGACTGAAACTATAAAAAGGACGGATAAAACACCCCAAGGGACCCCTTCTCTCTCTCTCTCTCTCTCTCTCTCTCTCTCTCTGCCCGTCACATTCACTGCACCTGAAAGGACAAAGAGAGCATTCATTGAACAATATGGGGAGGGGTCCTGACCTACAGGGTTTGGTCAGTAGGACTGCTGAAAGTATGTGGTGAGAAACTTGGCTTGAATCTAACACCGTTTAAGTCAGGTATTAGTAAATGTTTTATCTTTATTTTCCTTGTAACCATTTCTGATTTCTATGCCTCGTTGCTTGTACTCATTTAAAATCAACGTTTTCCAACACAAATCTGTTTCACTGGAAAATTCCCAAACAGCTCCAAGGCGGACTCCCATGGCTTCAGAGAGTGTGGTCTTTTAGGGTGTGAAATGGTGTCTCCAAAAGGCAGTGGTGGAAGCTCTGTCTCTTGGGACAGCTAATGACTGGACAAAGCACAAGACCATGTGCTCGAGAGAGCAAATCTTTAGCGGCAGGGAGATGGGTTGGATAATCTAGTGGGGCGTTGCCATCTCTAACGTCTACGATTTTGAACGCTGAAAGTACTAGCTGACTGGCGTGCTTGATGCACAGTGATGTGCTGGCTTTGGCAGTGCGGTAGAGTGCTGGAGGGAGAACTGCTTTCCAGAACCTGGAGAAAGGGTGGCTGGCAGAAGATGTATCTGACTGAAAACTGGCTCCAGAGTGTATGGAGACTATTTCACCTCCATTAGGGTTGTACAAAAGAGCATCTGTATTAAACAGCATGGGTGGGGTGTAGGTGTGGGTGTACGTATGTATTATTGGTTTGTATTACCATAATGTCTGGAAGCCCTAGTCACAGACCAGAACAAGAAGACAGTCTCTGCTCCCAGTGGGTTTACAATCTTAAGTAGAAGACAAGAGGCAACAGATAAAGACAGACCGACAGGGGAGCAGAAGGAAGCGGACAATATTTTTTAAGCCACTGGCTGTGTTGGGGGGGTAGGGTGGAGTGAGGAGAAGCCAAGCAGAAGCAGGAGTCTGTAGAGGAATAGCCAGAATTGCTCTGTGGGGAAGAGTAGGCCTGAGTAAGTGCTGGACTCGCTCTGCTGGCGCATGCTCATGGCAATGTTGATCTAAAGCATCCCCTGGCCTTTGCTGAGGCCTACCTAGTACCAGGCCTGCGGTCAGGTCCGGGTGCGGTCAGAAGGAACTTAGCTCCCTTTGTTCCTCTTCCCTGCCCCTTCTCTTGTACCTCCCCTGTAAATATACACCTGGGAGGGAGATTTCTGGGATCGGAACTTTCAGAGAGTTGCATGGGACCCCCTAAGTGCTGCCCCCCAGTCTAATACATATTGGAACTGGAAAAGGTTCAGAGAAGGGTAACAAAGGTGATCAAGGGGACGTTGCAGCTTCCATACAGGGAGAGACTAAAAAGATTAGGGCTGTTCAGCTTAGAAAAGAGACGACTGAGAAGGGGTATGAGGGAGGTCTATAAAATCATGAATGGTGGGGAGAAAGTGAATAGGGAAGTGTTATTTACCCTTTTCCACAATACAAAAACCAGGGGTCACCCAATGAAATTAGCATCCAGCAGATTTAATACAAAATCAGGAAGTTCTTCACACAATGTACCGCTAACCTGTGGAACTCATTGCCATGGGATGTTGTGATGGCCAAAAGTATAACTAGTCTCAAAAAAGAATGAGGTAAGTTCCTGGAGTTCCATCAATGGCTATTAGTTAAGATGGTCAGAGACACAACCCCATGCTTGAGGTGACCCTAAACCTGTAAGAGCCAGAAGCCAGGATGGGAAGACAGGTGGATCACTCTAGCTGCCCTGATCTGTACACTCCCCCTGAAGTCTGATACTGACTGCTGTCAGAAGACAGGCTACTGGGCTAGATGAACCATTGATCTGACCCAGTATGGCAGGTCTTGTGTCCTTAATCTAAGCTCCATCTGCTTTTGCATGGTTTTTGCTAGCTAGATGCAAATGCTATTTTACTGGCCAGAATCGACTGGGTAGAAACCTATCTATAGGGTCTTATAAAAGCATGTGATGGGGTGTACAAACCCCAGACAAGTCAGGAAAGGTTAATGGGCTGCTCAGGGCCCAGGCAGTCCCACCCTACACCACCTCAAGGTGTCAGGCTTTGAGAGAGGAGCTAAAAAGGGAGAGCCTGGTCCAGTTGCTGTCTGGTTGGGATGGGGAGCAGATCTTGAACTCTGACTGTGGGAGAGATGGCTGGCTGGGGCCAGGAACCGGGGAAAGCTGCTGCCCATCGGGGCCTCCCTCAGTGAAGGGAAAAACATATGTTTCTTTGTGATTATTTTAGCCTTTGGGTATCTGGGGAGGGATGGAACTGTTACATGATCTAGCTGGAGGGTAACTCACCTCAGCCCGGAAGGTGTTGGAGGCAGGGTGGAACAGCAAAAGACTCGGAGGGAACCAGAGGCAGAGTTACTGCTGCACTATGCCATGCCATCAGGGTGTGCAGCCACAGGCTTATAAACCTGCTTCGTCCCCACCGGTGCTGGCCATAGACACTGTGCAGTCTTAGCACTCGGCTAGCCAGGACCGTGTTGAAATCTCACCCTCACTAAAGCTCTCCCTCTCGCATCCGCTTACAGTTGCCTGGCACAGTTAGGGGATATTTGCATTCCAAGGTGTGCCTGTAGGTGGCACGGGACAGGGCAGCTGGGGATCTGCCTCTGGTTGCAGGCCACTTTAAACTCATGCAGAATCTCATGGGCCCTCCTGCTGTTTCAGCCCTAGTGTTCACCAGATCCACATGAGATTCCTCGCTCTCTAGCCACCGACTTTCACTTCCTTGACATACAGTGGTTAAGTCTGCAGTGCTGAAATCCTTGCTATGCGCTGACAGCGCTGCTGCAACTTCTCCTATTTCTCTGTCCTGCCTCTTGCACTTGTGTACAAACCCTCTAGAAATCCCCTTCCACTCCAGTGATCTCTGACCATCTTGGTTTTGAACCATTTCCTGAATCTTAGTCCTGACATTATTCCTCTTTTCATAGGCTTCCTGTTATCTGTTTGACTGTGGCTTCCAGTTCCTTTCTGCAAGCTGCATACTCATCCCTACCACTGCTTCCTTTTCCTACCGCTTGTGTCGATATGCTCTCTGCCCATATGTTTGTCTCTTCTCAACCAGGTTAAACTCTCACGCACACAACACAGAGCTATTCTTTCAGCTGGGGACATCTTCCATTCAGATGTGGCTTGCGGCATCTGCTTCAGGCTTCTTATATAGAGGAAGGACAGTTTGGTGCTTAAAATACTAACCTGGGCCCAGGGCCAGCGCAACCCTTTAGGCGACCTAGGCGGTCGCCTAGGACACTACGATTTGGGGGGTGGCGACCGCGGCGGTATTTCGGCGGCGGGACCTTCCGCCGCCTCTGTGGGGGGAGGGGGGGGCGGGATTTCGGGGCGGGACCTTCCGCCGCCCAGAGTGGCAGAAAAGCTGGTGGCGCTTCTGCCTGGGCCATGGGAAAGTCTGGTTTGATGCTTGTTCTGCCACAAACTTTTTGTGTGACCTTGGGCAAGTTCCTTAGTCTGCCTGATCCTCCGGTCCCTGTATGTAAAAGGGATGTAATAGCACTGCTTTCCTTTACCGGGGTCCTGTGAGGGCATATACATTGAAGAGCATGAGGCACCGAGATAGGAATGTGATGGTGGCCATATAATTACCTTAGATAATTAGAGGTTTCACCTTTGTGAGTTGAGAATGTTTCTATGATTTATACTCCAGGGGCGCCTACAAATCTCAATCAAGATCAGGGCCCCATTGTGCAAGACTCTGCACTAGATCTCTGTAGTATTTAAGCCAGGCTGTTACGTTTTCCTGAAAGCCAGCATAGATCCATTGTCCTAGGTTTTCTCAAACTGAGACCTTCTCCAGTCCAGAATGAAGGGATCTCATTTTATATATTCTTCAGACACCGGAGAAAAAATGTTGGAAAGGAAACTAAGTATTAGAAATGGCTAAACTGTGAGCATCTTAAACTCCAAGTGGAGGTGGTGATATTGACAATGATCTGTCTTGATGCCCATGTGACGTGTTTTTTATTTGTGCTTGCAGAGTACCGATTTAACGAGCACAGCTGGCTATGACAGCATCATTCAACATCTGAATGATGGCAGGAAGAACTGCAAGGAATTTGAAGACTTTCTGAAGGAAAGGTACAGAGCTTTCTCTAAACGCCTAGTTAGTCATGACTAGGAAATGGGTCGGTAATATTTTGATCTGCTGTTCCACATCTGTTTTTTCTGGTTTTTCTGTCTTTCACTGTCCACAGACGATGTAAAAATCTTTCATGTTGAACTATATGGAACACGCATTTTTATGCTGCCTCTGGTACGAGGCTGGTGCCGTGGGTGACCAGATGTCCTGAATTTATAGGGTCAGTCCCGATATTCGGGGCTTTGTCTTATATAGGTGCCTATTAGCCCCCACCTCCCTGTCCTGATTTTTTTTACACTTGCTATCTGATCACCCTATGTGTGTATTGTGCTTGAAATCCTGTGCCAATCAAATTTAATGTCGGTTCCCAAGCCTCGTGTTCGATTCTGCAGCCATTACATGCCCGTAACTCCCATTGAAGTCAGTGGAAGGTTTTTCTGGGCATGGGGAGTTCAACCTATGATACCCCCCGTTGTGAGGTGCTCAGATACTACAGTGATCATTGGATGTTTTTTCCTAAGAGATCTGCTCTAGGAAGTATTTTGGGGGTAGTTCTAGCGCCTGTGTTACACAGGAGGTCAGACTAGATGGTCACAATGGTTCCTTCTGGCCTGGGAATCTATGACTCTTCAATGTGTGTAGCCCCCCAACACTCTTGTGAAGCGAAGAGGGACTGTTTTCTCTATTTTACATGTTCCCTCTGGGGAACTGAGGCGACTTCTCAGGGTCCCACAGGCAGCAAGTGGTGGAGCAAGGAATTGAACCCAGGTCTTGGCATGATGCCCTAACCTCTAGACCATCCTTCCTCTCAGGTTAGGTCAGTTAGGCAGCTGGCATTTTATGGAAAACATTGGAAGGGAGAGGGGGCAAAAAAGTCTACTTGAAACTATTCTCACTATAGTCTTGCCCTGTGGCTTTGTGAAGTATTTCAACGTCGATCCACCAAAACAAATGAAAAATGTTTCTTACGCCAGCAGCTCAGGAGTACTTTGAACATGTAATCTGGATTTATGGCCGTTATTGTTTTGTTGACTGACGTGACGGAATCTCTGAAGCCTGGCACGTGTGCCCATAACCTGGAGGTGTGTGACTCCCAGATTGCTTCGGAATGGTTGCTCTTTATTTTCCAGGGGCTCTCATGACTTTCTAATTGGCAATCGGGAATTTTAGGGCCAATTTTTGTGTTTGACTGTTTCAGTTTAAAAAAAAAAAATTGGAATAGTGCCAATAGAGATTTTTTTTATTTTTCCTTAAATTCTTTCAGGGTGGGTGTTGGTACCTCTGCCTGGAGCACCCTTTACTCAACTACACTGGGGTTATTGGTCTTATGTTTGCTGAATTAGATGCCCTGAAGGTTGTATTTCAAAGTATACATGCACTTTGTGGAACTGCATATTTTTTTTTACAGGCTATTCAGCAAGCACTTTTTGGCATCATGCACCTCTGTGTCATTGTGCTCGAATGTGCAGGAGAAGCAGCATGGTCTAGTGCTTAAAGCAAGGGACCAAATTAGGTCTTTTTGTTTCTGTTCCTGACACTTACTTGTGGTGTGACCTTGGGTAAATCACATAAATCTTTCTTGTCTCAGTTTCATCATCTAGAAGATGGATCTAACACCGTCCTCCCTGAGGTGTGAGGCTTAAATAGGCATTTTGATCTTCTAGGATTAAATGGCTACAGAAGACGAGATTATAATTTAACACAAATAGAGTGTTGGCAAAAGGTGGTATATGGGCAGCCCTGGAGACCAAACTCCGCTAGTTATGCACAAGTACAGTCGAGTTGCAGGACGAGTTTCTCAACCCATTAATAGGTTTCAAACCTGACCTGGAAGGACCACATCTATGAAATAAGAATTAATTCAGCCTCCATGGTCCAGTCTGTCCTCAGACCTTGTGCTGAGACTGCCAGAGAAATTGTCAACTGGTGCCTTTTAGTGATGCGTACACGTGCCCACTGGAAATCCTAGAATCCTAGAAATGTAGGTCTGGAAGGAAACTTGAAAGGTCATCTAGTTCAGCCACCTGCATAGAGGCAGGACCAAGTATCATTACACCATCCCTGACAAGTGTTTGTCCAGCCTGTTCTTAAAAACCTCCAGTGATGGGGCTTCCACAACCTCCCTTGGAAACCCAGTCCAGAGCTTCACTACCCTGATAGTTAGAAAGTTTTTCCTGACACCTAACCTAAATCTCCCTTGCTGCAGATTAAAGCCCATTATTTCTTCTCATATCTTCAGTGGACATGGAGGACAATTGATCACCATCCTCTTTATAACCGCCCTTAACAGATTTCAAGATTCTTGTCAGGCCCCCACACAGTCTTCTTTTCTCAAGACTAAACGTGCTCAGTTTTTGTTTTTGTTTTAACTTGCCTCATTGGTCAGGTTTTCTAAACCTTTTATCATTTTTGTGGCTCTCCTCTGGAATATCTCAAATTTGTCCACATCTTTCCTAAAGCGTGGTGCCTGGAATTGGACACAGTACTCCAGCTGAGGCCTCACCAGTGGGGAGTACAGCAGGACAATTACCTCCCATGCCTTACATACTATACAACACGCCTGTTATTACACCCCAGAATGATGATATCCTTTTTCACAACTGCATCACATTGTTGACTCATAGTCAATTTGTGGAAATGGGGTTGGTCTGGCATGATTTTTTTCTTGACAAATCCATTCTGGCTATACCTTATAACCCTATTATCTCCAGGTGTTTACAAATAGATTGTTCAATAATTTGTCCCAGTATCTTTCCTGTTATGGAAGTTAGGATGACTGACTGGTAATTCCCCAGGTCCTCTTTGCTTCCCCTTTTAAAGACCGGCACTATGTTTGCCCTTCTCTGGGGTATGTTCCAGAGAAGAGCGACAAAAATTATTAAAAGTCTAGAAAACATGACCTAGGAGGAAAGATTGGAAAAAAATGGGTTTGTTTAGTCTGAAAAAGAGATGACTGAGAGGTAGGATGACCAGATGTCCCGATTTTATAGGGACAGTCCCGATTTTTGGGTCTTTTTCTTATATAGGCCCCTTTTCCCCCCCCCCCCCCCCGTCCCGATTTTTCACACTTGCTGTCTGGTCACCCTACTGAGAGGGGACATGATAACAGTTTTCAAGTATGTAAAAGGTTGATACAAGGAGGAGGAAGAAAAATTGTTCTTCTTAACCTCTGAGGATAGGACAAGAAGCAATAGTCTTAAATTGCAGCAAGGGAGGTTTAGGTTGGACATTAGGAAAAACTTCCTAACTATCAGGGTGGTTAAGCACTGGAATAAATTGCCTAGGGAGGCTGTGGAATCTCCAGCATTGGAGACTTTTAAGAGCAGGTTAGACAAACACCTGTCAGGAATGGTCTAGATAATACTTAGTCCTGCCACGGGTGAAGGGGACCGGACTAGATGATCTCTCGAGGTCCCTTCCAGTTCTATGATTCTATGTTGACGCTTTAGAGAATATGCTCCTATGCCAATGGGAGAACTTGTCCCATCTCTGCAAGAGGCGGTAGCTACCTTGACGGGAGAAACTCTCCCATTGACATAGCGCTGTGTACATTGGGGGTGAGGTCGGTCTAATTGCCTCTCTCAGGGGTGTGGATTTTTCACAGCACTGAGCAATATAGTTATACTGATATAAGTTCATAGTATAGACCTGTCCCCAGTCTCCTGGGACCACACCCATCCTTGAGGAGTTTTCAAAGATAGTTCAGGGAGTGGGGAGCCAGGAGCTCTCAGGGCTCTCAGCCCCCTACACCGGCCCTTTTAAGTCGGTGGAAGTGCTCCTGGTGAGGACGTGCACCACCGACCGAACGAGGGTAGTGGATGTGAACCACTGCAGTAATTACTGCAGTGGCTGTAAATCGACCTATGTTAGGTCGACTTAAGTTTGTAGTGTAGACATGCCCTCATTTACCTTAGGATGAATTTCATCAGGCCCTGCTGACTTGAATACATCTAACGTGGCTAAATATTCTTTAACCCGTTCTTTCCCTAGTTTGGCTTGCGTTCCTTCCCCTTTGTTGTTAATATTGTGTTACGTATCTGGTCACTATTAACCTTTTTGGTGAAGCCTGAAGCAAAATAGGCATTAAACCCCTCCGCTTTCTTTCTGAGATGATCAGTTATTTGCTCTCCTTCCCCACTAAGTAGAGGACCTACACTTTCCTTCATCTTTCTCTTGCTCCTAATGTATTTATAGAACCTCTTCTTATTGCCTTTTCTGTCCCTTGGTAGGTATAACTCATTTTATGCCTTAGCCTTTTTGATTTTTTTCCTACTTGCTTGTGCTTGCTTGTGTTCTTTTGTACTCCTCCTTAGCAATTTGTCCATGCTTCCACGTTTTGTAGGATACCTTTTTGATTTTCAGGTCATTAAAGAGCTCCGGATGGTGCCATATTGGCCTCTTACTATTCTTCCTATCTTTCCTTTTCATCAGAATAGTTTGCAGTTATGCCTTTAGTGTTGTTTTCTTGAGGAACTGCCAGCTCTCTTGAACTTCTTTTTCCTGTATATTTTCTTCCCATGGGACCTTACCTACCAGTTCTCTGAGTTTATTGCAGTCTGCTTTTTCTGAAGTCCATTGTCCTTTATCTGCTGCTCTCACTCTTTCCTTTCCTTAAAGTCATGAAATCTATCCGTTCGTGATCCCATTCAGCCAAATCGCCTTCCACCTTCCGATTCATTACCAATTCCTGCTTGTTGGTTAGAATCCAGTCTAAAATGGCTGTCCCCCTGGTTGTGTCCTCCACTTTCTGGAACAAAAAGTGATCCCCGATACAGTCCTCGAACGTACTGGAATGGAAATCCGAGATCCATTTCACATAGGCCACCAAATGGCGGTCAGATAGTAACAGCTGTCTTTCGCCACCAACCCGATCTGCAGTCAAGCTTGATGATTTAGAGGGGGAAAGTGTTACTCTGTGTACCGAAGGATAACAGAGTTGTTCTTGGTGTTGGTCAGTATTTCTTCTCATTCTCCAATTCATCAGCCCAGCCTGGCCGATGTAATAAGATAGACTTTTTGCAGGTCTATATCATGCACATCATTGTTCCAATCAACTACCGTGAGCCATTCTGTTTCAACTCCCCCTCCTCCTTATATTTACTATCACAGCTGCAGCAGGTTTTCACTGTACTGTCCTTTCAGGGGAAGACTGTTGCAGAAGTGAGTCTGAAAACAATTCTGATATTTAGCCCTCTGTACACATAGTTCTTCATGAACACCTTGATCACTGTGTGGTACCCATCACACTGGAGTTTCCTGATGGTTTTAGACTCCCCATTCAAGAGGATATTAAAGATGACAGTTATTGTAAGGACACAGCTTTGGCAGGCATTAGGATAAATTTAAATAGCTGCCTAATTTTCAGTGGGTCTTTACATTTTTATTACACTTGGGGCATGTGTATTGATTTCATAGCAATTGTAAATGTCCATTTGGGCTTAGAATAAGGTGACCAAACACTACTTCTGTGGTCTAGCCATGGGTTCGAATTCTGTCTTCCTCCAGAGAGAAGAGGCTAGTGTGATATCTCAGAAGTGCCACGTAGCCTCTGGGACATGCCATATTTAACAGCTGACTTGGTGGGTGACAACTCCAGGACTAAGGTCCTGCTTCAGATGTTGTTTTTAAAACTTTTGTTTTATTCCAAAGATCCCTTACAGACCTTGATCCATGGAAAACTCCCACTGGAGCTTAAGGGCCAAATTTTCCATCCACTTAACAGAGGTAGTAGCCCTTATATACTTCACCAGGGTAATCCCAAATACAGGAGGAGCTGTCCTTAGAGCTTCAAAGGAAGCAGAGTCTGAACACAGGTCTGGGAGCCAGGAACTCGCAAATAGCGTTGGGTGATCTTTGTTTTGTTTTTGACAGATGGTTTTTTCACTGAAAAATGCATTTTGGGGGGTCCGTTGGGTAAACAGCGACAATATAATCTTAGCTGCTGCTCTTTTGGACTGACCACGTGCAGCCTGTCTGTAGCAGCTGGCCGGAAACCTGGGAGGTGAAAGGGTGAAATTCACAATACTTCATTTCCATTTTTGGCCAAACCTCAGCTATTAGCCCTCTGGTGGTTCAGACCTGGTAGAGTAGTTAGCAGTCCCTTTCACGACCCCTTAGGCCAGGACTCAGCTCGACACCTTATGGCAGTACGAGGCAGTTTGTGTGTAGTTGGTTTGGGAGCTAGATTTCATTCTAGCACCCTCTCCTTCCAGCCTTTACCCTTCTAGCAAGCACCTTGCAGATCTGCATGGCATGTGAGTTTCTTCTAACCTCCTCTCTTTCCACAACAGGGCAACTATAGAAGAAAAATATGGCAAAGAGCTCATTAACCTGACAAAGAAGAAGCCCTGTGGGCAGACAGAATTGAAGTAAGTTTAGATCCTTGTGTGTGTTCTCATTCCTATTTGTGTTCATAACAAAAGCTACCTTGACTTGGAACGCTGATGGCGGGGGCTAATGTCGAATCCAAAAAAGGGAGTGCAAGTTAGAAGGAGGCTGAAATTAGTATTGATATGACTGGAAAAAGACTGGCTAAAATCAGAGTCTTGTGCATGAGAGACATGCCAGTAATTGTAATTCATTGATGTTAGCATCCCACTAAGCCAACTTCCTATTATCAGAAATTAACACTACTTAAAGGAAGTCAACACTAGCTGTTGTGGTCCAGTGTAGAGGACTGGGAATCGTGAGAGCTGGGTTCTCTTCCTGACTTCATGCGTGGCCTTGGACACGTCTCTTCACTTCCCTAAGCTGCGGTGTGTGGCTGCATGTGAAAGGCTGTATTCTCTACTTGCTTGCATCTTCCTGCATCTGGGCTTTGTATAGAATGGAAATAAGATCTCCTCTACATTTCAGCACTGAAATTCACTGTCCAAAAGATTCCAATTTCTTGGGACACATTTCAACATGTGTATGTTAGGGGTGGTGAAGGGGTGTTTAGGTTGAACCTACTACGCTCTGAAAGACACTGCAAACGCAAGAGAACATTTAACTAGCTTTCTTTATGCTAATTCCACTTCCTTTTCTTCTACAGCTTTCCTCTTAGGGTACCCTAGAACTACGCTGCAAATGAAGGGGTAGTTATATCCCAGGTAGGCATATCCGGGTAACAGTGGGTATGTCTCCATAGCCCGTGGCAGTGAGCCTCCCAGCCCTGGTCTGCACGCTTGGGCTTGCGCGAGCACTGTAAAAATAGCTGCACTCTGAAGTTGCGGCTTGAGCTGGAGCTCACACTCAGAAGCTTCCTCTCTGCCCCCCCAGCACCTTAGGCTTCTGAGCCACAACCTCTACCAGCTATGTTTAGGGCTGTAGTGCAAGCCCACGTCTGCAGACCTGGGCTGGGAGGCTTGGTGCTGTGGGCAGCGTAAATATACTCCGGTGCAGTGTAGACTTGGTTGCATGGGCTTCAGTGCAGGCCAGCAACCCAAATGCTTACCCAGGGTCCCCGATGGGTGGCTAGCCCACGCTAAAGTCTGTGCCTACACTGCTACTGTGACCTGTGCTAGCTAGATTACCGCCTACCCTTGCTACAGTCACAGAAAAGGAAGTGGAATGAAAGCAAACAAACTAGTTTTATGTTCTTTTGCGTTTGTAATGTCTCTCAGAGCACCTCAGCTCCCCATCTGTGAAATGGGGATCATCTCTCTTTCTTTGCCTGTCTTGTCTGTTTAGACAGTCCCTGCCCTAAACACAGAAAGAGGCTGTGTTTATGTACGGTGCCTAAACCAGTGGGACCCAATCTTGGTTGGAGCCTCTAGGTCCTACTGTAATACCAACAAATATTAATGATGATGATAATATAAGCATGGGTTAAAGCTGCCCCGGGTGTCACAGGAATGTCATCCCGAACTGCCCAGTTGGTTGGCATATGTAGTGATGTTAATAGTGTCTCCTGTCCCCACCGTCTGTGCTGCTGCATAGGGGAATGAAATCTTGTCCTTGAATGACAGAACGGTGAAAAGCCCAAATCTCTGTTTGAGCCTGACGCTGTGTGTGTGTGTGTGTGTGTGTGTGTGTGTACACACGTACAACCCGAAAGATTGACTGAGTGGGTGTGAGCAGTATGTGAAAAGGTTAGAGCGAAGGGGGAATCTTGCCCTTGTCAGCGAAGCCATCATTACATGCCATGGGGAATCTGACAATTCTATCACCTACCCTGTAACTCTGTGCCTGTGTTTTTCAGCACCCTGAAGAGAGCTCTTGAAGTTTTTAAGCAACGTAAGTAACTGCTTAACATCGTTCTTTGTATTTGTCAAGAAATCCGGCTGCATTGGAGACTGTGGATGACAGTTTGAAAAAAGTATATTCAAAAGTCTGCAAACCTATACAGTCGTTTGCCTCAGAAATAGACTGTAAAATCAGATTAGCTGGGGGTACAGTGAGCTATTCCCATTTTACATTCGTTTGTTTTCATCTCCTTGGCAGTTACTTTCACTCCATACTTTCTAGGAGCATAGTGCCATTATAGAATGCACAGCGCTGTTACCTTCAGAGCATTTTACAAACCTTAACCAATGAAGCCTCACAAAGACACCCTGTGGGCAGATCAGAGAGGAAAGTGTAATCTCTGGTTCACAAACTGGGAAGCTGTTGCAGAGAGAGATGAACTGACTTGCTTAAACCCCCCGTCAGTTGGAAGCATTGTTAGTCATAGAGTCCCTCCTACCCCCCCCCCCAAATGTAATTTGCATTATACTTACTGGGTCCCTGAGAACTTGAAGCTAAACATCTAAATAGATCAGATGAAGTCCTGGGGGGAAGAGCAGGGATGTGCCAGAAAGCAAACTGACTTGCTGAGCAGTGTGGTTTAGCACACGCCCTGTTTGAGCTTTTGATTTGTCTAATGTCTTTGATGGGAGTGCGGGGAGTCTAAGAAGGGATTTGGAGGAGACGTATTGGTGCTATATTCAAAGTGCCTCCACTTCTGCATTCTGTTCAGCTTCATATCTCCTCCTGGATGTCTGTATTTACATTTGTGGCTGTGCTCGGTTGTTCCATTTTGGCCCAAATATTTCGTGTCTTTCTCTGGCCTGCACCTAACCCCTTATCATCCTGTATGTAACTGCTCATTGTATTGCTTCGTCTGGTGGTGGAAAGAGAGACCTTGCTTACTGTGGTGGTTAATTTTTAACACTAGAGAAATAACTGATCTGATATGAGAAGCAGAGCTCTGCGTAAGCGCCAAAGCTGATCTCTCTCTCTCTCTCTCTCTCTCACCAACAGAAGCTGGCCCAGTAAAAGATATTACCTCACCCACCTTGTCTCTCTTCTAGCCCTGTCAGTCCCAGGACACAACAACGCGGCATGATCTGATAGGAAACATTTTTCGCGTATCAAAGAGACTAGTTAAACTACAGTGAAGTGCTGATTGGAAATTTTCTGATGAAACCAAAGTTTAGTTGGAAAATAACAATTCAGCGGACTGAAGTATTTAACCAGCCCTATTACAGGTTAGATGAAACTTTCATAGGGACACAGGGAGCTTTCTACTGGAAACCTGCCTGCTTTCCTGGTGGACTGCTGGGAAGCCCTTGTTCCAGGGTCCACAGCTCTGGGACAATCCCACCATGCAGACTGCTCGGGGCCTACTGGGCTCCACACTATGTGACAGAGACTCAGGCAGCCTTGTGAGTCCCAGCTGGAGCCAGGGACTCCAAGGTCCCCGCTGTGGAGCGGGGAGTCAACATCTCAAGAACGTGGGCTCCAGCTACCGCTTTGGGACAGCCCCTCCATGTCAGGCCTTCCAGGCTCCCTGCTTGGAGCCAGGAATATGAAAACGCTTGGTGCTGTGGGTCTAGCAGCAGTGTGGTTCCCAGCTCCACAGCCTGGAAGCCCTGAGAACCATGGCTCTAGGTGGGGCTCATCAGGGCTTCTAGGCTTCCTGCCGCAGACCTGGGAGCCTGCAATTCCTGGAACCAGATTCCAGTGTCGGTGGCTCTGGGGCAGATGGCCTGGGCTGAGGAGCCCAGGGCTTCCAGAGTCCTGGGCCAGCTGGCTCCCTGGGCTACCCTCCCTGAATAGCAGGGGTGAAATGGACAAGAATGTCCATTTCACCTGTTTTGTATCTAAAAGGCTACAGTTCAGTGTTTCCCAGATGCAGGTATTTGTGGTTTGTCAGTTAGCAAAATATATCAGTAAATTCTGAATCCGAGAGAAACAAAATTCCCAAATACCGAAACTTTTTGTGAGCTGAAACCCAGAGTTTTGGCCAGCTGTCATGCTGTATACTGTTAAGTTGTTTTCCTTGTGTGTGTCCAGTGGGCCTGATTGGCCTTCCATTTAACAATCGTATAAAATCAGGGTTAACTCCCTTGACTTCAGTGATGTTACACCAGTGGGAAAACTGGAATGACAGGTTAGAGAATTGAACAGTAAAGTTGAACCTACAGGAAGGTTTTTGGTGTACTTCATGCTGCTCTGTTCTAAGCACATTCCAACCACTACTGGAGAGCTTGGAAGTCTCTTTCTAGAGACAAACTTGTCTCTTAGGGCTGGTCCACACTGGGGCGGGGGATTGATCTAGGAAACGCAACTTCAGCTACGAGAATAGCGTAGCTGAAGTCGACGTTTCCTAGATCGAACTAAGTTTACTTACTGTGGGTCCACGCGGCGCAGGCAAGCTCCCTCGTCGACAGCGCTTCCTCCTCTCGGCGAGCAGGAGTTCCGCAGTCGACCGGGGAGCGCTTCTGGGATCAATTTATCGCGTCCAGATGAGACGCGATAAATCGATCCCAGAAGATCGATCTCTACCCGCCGAATCGGGCGGGTAGTGTGGACCTACCCTTAAGAACAGTTGAGGTTAATTCGAAGTAACTGGCCTGATAGAGCCACTAATGCAGCCTTGGGGTCCTAACGTGCATTTTAAAACTGGCTGGCACCAGGTGGACAGTGCAGTTATTTTCGTGATAACTGTTTCTTTCCCGGCAGATACTCTGAGAGGGAGGAAGCTGGTGGCGCAAGAATAGCAGTGCTGGCATTTCAACACCCATTGTTAGAAGTGAAAGAGGCTGAAAAGAATGTGACAACACAGTAGTGTTGCCGGAAATCTGTGGTGCTCTAGGAACGGCACGCTTGTCACACAGAATAGGTTATTCTGCACGCTGCAGGCGCTCGGCGTGTCATGGCGTCCGTCGGGCTAGAACTACAAGCAAGCCGGCGTCTGTTAGAGCAGGGCAGGGAAAGGCAATTCCGTTGTGTGGGAGATTTTTGATATTTCGAAACTTGCTTCTGAATCGGAATGAAACCAAAACAGAAATTTTGAAATTTGCTGCCAAGCGGAATGGAGCCCCAGCTTCCAGGCAGTCTGCCAGGCGCGCTGCAGATCCTGGAGGCCGCGCTCCCCAGCAGCCCACCAGCTGGGTTGCGGAGGAGCCAGATGGGGAAGCTGGCAGGAAATCAGGCAGGTTTCTGTCGTCACTTTGTTGAAATCGAACCGTGTCTGTGAAATGTTTAGATAAATCTTCAAATTCTGATGAAAAAAATGTTTTGTCAGCCGCTTCCTGACCAGCTCTCCTGCCTATGACTAGGCCCCTACCAAATTCACGGTCCATTTTGATCCATTTCACTGCTGGAGGGTTTTAAAATTGGTCGGTTTCACGTTTTCAGATGTTTACATCTGAAATTTCATGGTGTTGTAATGGGGGGGTTCCTGACCGAAAAGGAGGTTATTGGGGAGGGGGAGGTCACAAAGCTTATATAGGGGGGTCACGGGATTGCCACCCTCACTTCTGTGCTGCCTCCAGAGCTGGGCTCAGAAGGTACAGCCATGGAGCTTCCTGCAGCCAGGGGAGGTACCCAGAGGTGGGTCTGATCTCCCCCCGAGAGCGGCCATGCAGGGGAAGAGGAAGTCCCATCCCTCTCCAGACCGGTGGACTAGTAGCTGGAGCAGTTGAACAGTAGGAGTCCCTCCAATAGCTAGATTTATGGGGGAGGTCTGATTTCATGGTCCGTGACGTGTTTTTCACGGCTGTGAATTTGGTAGGGCCCTACCTATGACACACAGATGCACAATGCTGATTGCATCCAATAGAGGGCAGTGGCGCACCCCCCCGCCCCCGAGCCAGGTCATTGTAATGTCTTCGTAGAGGCTAGTGCTGCTGTCATGTAGCATGCTGGCCTTTCAACATTTTCCTGGCTTTGAACTGCACTGGGTGAAAAATCTAATCAATTCACTTGAAAACAATTACATCCAATTATGTCAGTTAAAACCCAGCCTTTGTGGTCCACCCTGTGCTGTTTTGTTCATCAGTCTAAAGCAGTGATACTCAGACCTCAGTGGACCAGGAGCCAAATTAGTGCTCAACATTGCCCAAAAGAGCCACAGTCGTGTGAATTCATTGTTTCGTTTACTATAGTACTATTCATATTTAAACATGACGACAGGGAAATATTTAGTTTATATATAGATATTTATTCTCACAGCAAATAAGTTGATAACTTAGTGCAAGTTAATAACTTAATTGGTTTAATGACACTGTAAAAGCATCCCGATTGATTAATATTTAAATGACACAGTGATTTAATATCATGTGTTGCAAAGAGCCACAGGAGACACATTAAAGAGCCGCTCGCGAGGCGCAGCTTGTGTATCACAGTCTTACCCTAACTTCCCACAAAACTCTGCCAGTGCACCTGGATCCTGACCCGTTGCGCCCCCGACTCTTCCAGTCCTGGAAGTCTTGAACAGAAGCTGTCAATTGTCAGAGTTCTGGGTGTAGTTCTGTATAGTGCCCTGTGGGACAAAACAAAACTTTCATCTAAACAACAAGGAGTTCGGTGGCACCTTAAAGACTAACAGATTTATTTGGGCATAAGCTTTCGTGGGTAAAAACCACTTCTTCAGGTGCATGGAGTGAAAGTTACAGACTCGGGCATTATATACCGACACATGAAGAGAAGGGAGTTACCTCACAAGTGGAGAACCAGTGCTGACAGGGCCAATTCAATCAGAGTGGATGTAGTCCACTCCCAATAATAGATGAGGAGGTGTCAATTCCAGGAGAGGCAAAGCTGCTTCTGTAATGAGCCAGCCACTCCCAGTCCCTATTGAAACCCAAATTAATGGTGTAAAATTTGCAAATGAATTTTAGTTCTGCTGTTTCTCTTTGAAGCCTGTTTCTGAAGTTTTTTGTTGTTGTTCAAGAATAGTGACTTTTAAATCTGTTTTAGAATGTCCAGGGAGATTGAAGTGTTCTCCTACTGGCTTTTGTACGTTACCATTCCTGATGTCCAATTTGTGTCCATTTATTCTTTTACTTAGGGCTTTCACCTGTAAGCCAGGTGACCTCTAACCCCAGGCAAGGCCAATACCCAGTCAAGGGGGTTCATAATAAAATGAAACCAATCTTGAGTCTTTTATTTTCTGATTCAGGGTCCATCAATGGGAGCTGTGGGTGCTCAAAGCTTCTGAAAATCAGGTGCTAGGTGTTTCAAATTGGGCCCTTCCAAATCCGTGGACACCACACTAAAGGGCTGGTGTTCACTGCAGCTTGAGGTATAACTCAAGTGTTGCCTCTAACTGGACTCCTGTTCATATACAAAAGTCTCTAGCTGAGTTAGGTGGTGCCATTTAGCTGGCCTGTGAGAGGGCGTGGGTGAAGCTTGAGTAATGTAGTGGGGACACAGCTCCTGGCTACAGCTCAATTTTTAGCAATAGGTTATCACTCTGCTAATGCAGTTGCTCTGCACTGTTAATCAGATCTTGAGTGTTATTTCGCAGTGTGTGGCTGCTCTTGCTTGAGCTAGGCTAACTTGAGAGGAGTAACTCAAGCTAACTGTTGCCATTATCTAAATCTAGTCCTTCACCTGTCTCTGTGCCTCAGTTTATCGATCTGTAAAGTGGGCGTAATAGGCTGACCTACCTTACAGGGATGTTTCTAGGGTTTGATGTCTATGAAGCATGGTGCAGCTAAAGCTGGGCAAATAACTGATTTTTCAGTTTATTGGCAGTTACAAAAAAAAAAAAAAAATTCAGACCGCATCTGAAAATTTCCAAAAAAAAGTCAGCAAATTGAAAAAGTCCACAAAAATGTCACTGTGGGTTGGACTAAATGTTTTGTTCAACCCAGAATGAACTGGTTCATTTCCGGGCACGTTGTCCATGTAAAAAGCAAAGGAAACGAAGGGTTAGATTCACCAAACAACTTGCCCGTTGGCCAGGTTGGAACAAGGATACAAACTTGGGTCTCACAGGTAAGTGCTCCAATCACCAGCTGTTGAGTTAGTCTCACTTTTTCTCTCTCTCTCTCTCTCTCTGGCCCAGTGACTATTCATGTATTTTAGACACAGTAACAGTTTCAACAGAGGAGATTGAGAAAGCCCCACACTAGGCTATCCCATACCCGGTAGTTGGGGCACTCACCTACAATGTGGGAGACCTACATTAAAATCTCTTCTCCACATCAGCAGAGGGGGGGATTTGAACCTGTCTCCCACATCCCAGGTGATTGCCATTTGCCTGAAGAACTTTGCTTGGCTCTAGTTGAAACTCTCAGAGAAGGTGTTTTAGAAATGCTGCCTAGTGTTGTGTTAGATAACACAAGTGACTCCAGTCAAGACCATCTTTGTGAGCATGTGGGTTTTTTGTTTTTTCCCCCTCACTTGCAGAGGTAGATGGTGTTGGGCAGAGTCACATCCAGCTGGCCCAGACCCTTCGGGAAGAGGCGAGGAAGATGGAGGACTTCAGGGAAAAGCAAAAACGTCATCAGAAAAAGGTCAGGAATTTGGGAAGGCGTCACGTGATTCTGTGAGCTGGAATCTGGCCAGAATGCCAGGATTAAAACCTTGACTTCTGCAAATGGTGCTGTGGGATCTTTAATGACCCCAAACGGCCAGCTCCTTAGCTTTACACCTGGGCCTGGGAGCTGTGAAAGAGCCCAAGCTTTACTGGAAGTTTGCAAGTGTGCTAAGTTGCCTGTTCGGTGTATATGTTGGCTGCTGGGGTAAGGGTTTTCTTTCTCTGTCCCTCCCCTTCCCTCGCCCGTGAACTCCCTGCTGCTCTGGGAAGTCCAGAGTTCATTCCTAAATGCTGTAACTGCATCAGAGTGCATGAGTGTGGTGACTTACAACTTCCTCATTCAAGCTGCATGTGTTTGCCTTTGGGTTCCTACGCTTCTTTTTAGGAAAAATAGATCATTTTTGTATTTTCTTTCCATCGAAAGCTGCGCCTGGGCCCTTTCTGCTCCCTGAGCTTCAGATCTTGGCAAGAGATCTTCACAACGTACAATTGCTTTTAATGGGGCAGCTGTGGTCTCTGGCCAGGTTTTCAGACACACACAGTACCCAGTAGTTGCCTTTGTTCTCACTGTGGGCTGGAATACATCTAGGGTGACCAGACAGCAAGTGTGAAAAATCGGGACAGGGAGTGGAAGGTAATAGGAGCCTATACGAAAAAGACCCAAAAATCGGGACTGTCCCTATAAAATCGGGACATCTGATTACCCTAAATACATCTGAAAATCAAGCCCTTACTGGGTTGTATTATGTGCAGGATCCAGGAAAGCTGGGTTCTATTCCTGACTCTTTCCTGTGGGGCTTTGGGCCAAGCCACTTAACTCCTCTGTGTCTTTGTTTGCCCTCTGTCTGTAAAAGGAAGGATAACAATAGTTAATCAGTAGTTAAAGTTTATACCAAACAGGAGGGAGAGGGCTCACCGATATTGCCAGACCTCATGAATAGGGCCCTACCAAATTCACAGTCCATTTTGGTCAATTTCATGGTCCCAGGATTTAAAAAATCGTAAATTTCATGATTGCAGCTATTTAAATCTGAAATGTCACGGTGCTGTAATTGTAGGGAACCTGACCCAAAAAGGAGTTGTGTGTGTGTGTGTGTGGGGGGGGGGGGGGTGCAAGGTTATTGGAGGGGGGGTTGCAGTACAGCTACCCTTACTTCTGCGCTGCTGTTGGTGGTGGCGCTGCCTTCAGAGCTGGGCAGCTGGAGAGCGGCGGTGGCTGGCCAGGAGCCCAGCTGTGAAGGCAGCACAGAAGTAAGGGTGGCAATACCGTGACCACCCTAAAATAACCTTGCGCCCCCCCTCCTGCAACTCCCTTTTGGGTCAGGACCCCCAATTTGAGAAACGCTGGTCTTCCCTGTGAAATCTGTACAGTATAGGGTAAAAGCACACAAAGGACCAGCTTTCACGGGGGGAGACCAGATTTCATGGTCCGTGACACATTTTTCCTGGCCGTGAACTTGGTAGGGCCCTCGTCATGAAGGGTGTTGGTCATGTGATGCAATATATTGTTATGAGATTTGCTGGTCTCACATTGCTGAGATGTTGTCTGACACACACCAGACAGGACTTGAACTGGGAGCCTATCAAGGTGACCGTCTTAGCCGCTAAGCTCCTCGGCAGCTTTCGTCCTTGCAGTGCTCCTGGGGCTGGATGGTGCACTAATGCAGGTGTTGTTCCCTTCACAGCTGGAGCTTGTAATGGATGCAATTCATAAAAATAGGAATTTGCAGTATAAGAAAACAGTGGAGGTAAGTGGCTCCTATCATCTGGTTCTTACAGGCCACAGATCTGTAGCATGCAGGCACATTAGAAACATAACACTGTCTGTGTTACCTACAATAGTTTTGTGTTTGAATGGTTAAACAGTGAGAATGGTATTTGCATGAGCACACGTCCTGTGTCCAAGCACTGAAGCTGACTAAGCCACCAAATCTTTTCATTGTCTTTGTATTTACTGTATTTTTGTTCTGCACCTGGCGAGTGACATGCAGACCAGGAGCTACAGAGCAAATGCAAAGAGTGTGGGAGGAAAATGAATGCGGGGCCAGCTGTGTTATTCAGGCTGTGATGAGGGTAATCAAATCTCATGCTTCAGGACATAAACTAATCTCGGGTCAGGAAGGAAAGGTGTCCTTACATACGCAGCATTGCACAGTTGGCTGCCTTCATTGAGGGGCTTGTCTTCCTTTGAAGCATCAGATGTTGGTGGCTACCAGAGGCAGGATACTGAACTGAAGTTCCAGTAATGTATGTGGCAGATCCTATAGAATCCTTAACGTGAGTGCAGGATTTGATCCAACAGTTTAGTGTGTGTGTGTTGTGTTGCATTTCCTACTCGCTTACATACCCACCTCTCTCCTAGGCAAAGAGGCTGTATGAGCAGCGATGCAGGGATAAAGATGAAGCGGAACAGGCCGTGCACCGCAATGCAAACCTTGTAACACAAAAGCAACAAGAAAAGGTAACACGGAGGGTGAAAGGAAGGCACTTTTTCTGTCCTGCTTTAGGTACTGTTCAACAACTAAATCACCTCCAGGAAAAAATACCATTAAGAACATAAGAACGACCATACTGGGTCAGACCAAAGGTCCATCTAGCCCAGTATCCTGTCTACCGACAGTGGCCAATGCCAGGTGCCCCAGAGGGAATGAACAGAACTGGTAATCACCAAGAGATCCATTCCCTGTCGCTCATTCCCAGCCTCTGGCAAGCAGAGGCTAGGGACACCATCCTGGCTAATAGCCATTGATGGACCTATCCTCCATGAACTTATCTATTTCTTTTTTGAACCCTGTTATAGTCATTTTAGAACTAAAGATAGTGGCTACAGTTTCTAAGAAACCTGCCAAACAGGGACCCTGAACCTGCAGTTGGATTTACACAGGAGAGCCCCCTTTCACTGCACGGAAGCTCTGGTAGCAGAATCACCAGGAGTTCAAAGGTGGTTCTGGGAGCTTGGTAGCTAGCTGAAGGCCTGATGGTTGACAGCCAGCATGGAAGACTTGAACCACTAGTGAGGAATCACTGACACAGAGCTTGGGGGGAAAAAATCTGGGTTGGTGGTTTGACTTCACCCACTGGTTAAGGATGGATTTGCAGGATAGAAATGAGGTCCAACCTTACTTTCTCTGCAGTGTTTGTGGGTTCAGCTGCTGTCTCACAATGACTCCTTTATCTTTCTGTTTTTCAGCTGTTTGTAAAGTTGGCTCAGAGCAAGTCAGCTCTGGAAGATTCTGGTGAGTGCTGATAACATGGAGTATCTGTTACATGTGGAGGGGCTGGGCCACGCTGGGGGCTGCAGGTAGGGGATGGGATGGAGAGGAACCCATTACACAAGTGCTGTATTGGGGTGACTGGCATAGACCCTCCCTTTCCTAAAACAGTGGGTCGCACAGTTATACGCTGGATACATTTGCCCCAGGAAGTCAAACATTATGTCTTGATGGCTCATTGTCTCCTTGTGATGAGACCATGTCCCAGCTAGAGCTGACTGGAAATGTTTAGTTGAAACTTTTTTTGATGGAAAATGCCATTTGTGTCATACTGGGAATAATTTTGGAATCACAGTTTTATTTGATTGTGACAAATATTTCAGCAGAAAAAAAATATTTTGAAATAAAAAGATTTCCATTTTGGAATATGTTTGTCTTGGAAAATGTCAAGAGTTTCTTTGTGCGGCATTGTCTGGACTGGCTGCAACTTGGAATTCCTGGTTTGCAGAAAATTTCAGCACCTCGATTTCTTTTTGTTCTGATTCAAAAGGAAAACAGATATTTTTGGAATTTCTCAAAAATTTCAGTTTGGGGATTTTTTTGTTATTTCATTTTGGAATTTCAAAATATCATTTAGTATTTTGAGTTTTGAATATTTTTATAATGTTGTTTCATGACACGTCAGTGAAAATAGTGCTTAATATTCACTACCACTGCTGTCATGTCATAATATGATATGATGTAATTGAAATATTCTATTTGTATTTGATTTTCTTTTAACAATTAAGAGCAGCTGCTACTTAGAACTGGTTGAAAGATCTTCACTTTTCTAGGTGAAAGTGTCTCTGTTATAATTTAAACAATTTGATCCTTTGAAATGAGTTTGAAACAGGATACTGGGCTAGATGGACCTTTGGTCTGACCCGGTACGGCCTTTCTTATGTTCTTATATAAACTCATTTCACATGCTCTAGACCCAAATTAAACCCAGGGTCCAACATATTCTGATCACAGTGTTTAGAATTGTTTACCTGAGTCTTTCATGCATCCAGACCTGTGTGTTGTACATGTGATCAAATTGCTGTTGGATTTCCCTACCAGACAGGCAATATCAGCTGAATGTTGGTGCTCTTGAGAAGATCAGGGAAGAATGGCAGAATGAACACACCAAAGCCTGCGAGGTAACACACCAAAGCCTGCCATCCATCCTAGAGATAATGGAGGATCTTAATGCTGCAACACTCTGTCTTTGAGATTGGGATTTCATTTCCTTCACTGCCAATGCTAGTGAGGGACCACAGTTGGCCTCTTCTGTTTCCTTATTGGTAAAACTTCAAGACACTTCCCAATTAAACTTGCATGTCCCTGCCTCTTAGTGTCTGGATACAAAGCCCCCAAAATTGGCATTTAAAAGTAGGGAAATATATTGGAAAGCCTTCAAGTGTCAGCGTGCAAAATAGTGGCATTTTTTTGCGCTGGCGTCTTTGTATGCAAAGTGCTGCCATCTACTGGACGGAACCTTAGCTTATATAATACAATAATGGACAGGCTCAGGGAGATGAAGATTTGCCTTTATTACTTTATTTCTCTGAGCAGCCCATAAACTCTTTCTATATTCTATTCAAAGAAATGAGCTGCATGGTCTTATTGCTGTCACCTTTGTACTTTCCCTGAGGCTTGATGGCACTCCTTGTCAGTCATATCTTACCTTATACTGCAAACCTTCTCAGCCAGGGATGTGTGGCCTGTTTCTCCTCTCACTTAGACTGGTATAAAATCAGGAGTAGCTCCTACACCAGCATAACACATGTGTCAGTGAGAGGAGAATCAGGCCCTTTGCCTGTAAAGCACCACATGCATTTACGATGGGAGAGATGGATGGCACCAGACCGAGACTCACATCTAAGTTCTATCCCCAATTCAGCCAAGAACTCCGTGCGTCATCTTGGGCAAACCTTGAGGTTTCCGACACACCTATGATCCTGTCACGTTGCTTAAGCATCAATATATTGCATTTTCTATCGGTGACACTGCTGTTCTAGGCAGAGCAACTGGGTTCTATTCCCTTCTCTGCCACTGGCCTCCTGGGTAACCTCGGGCACGTCGTGCCATCGCGCTGTGCTTCAGTTTCCCATCTGTAAAATAGGGATGATGATACTGATGTCCTTTGTACAGTGCTCTGCGATCTCTGGATTAAAAAGGGCTCTAAAAGGGAGGTACTATTATGAGTTCAGCTCAGCCCATTCCCTAGTGCTGACCCCTTCTGCTCGTTCTTCCAGTTTGCTTTGGTTTCTTAAAATGAAATGACCTGCCTGCGTGTGCTTTGCCCATCCAAAACTTGTCAATGGCTCAGTGTAATGAAAACCCATCGGCTGATAGTGTGGAGCGGTAAACAAAGATTCACTTCCTCAAATCAGTCAGGTTGGGTTGATTAGCCGTGCCACGTGCGGAAGTTCTGCCGCAGGTCCATTACAAAAGGTCCTGCCGATTTAAATGTGTGCTCTTGGTGAGAGGTTACTTGTTATCCGTGGAAATGTGAAAAGGACTCTTCCTGATGGAATGAATACATATCGAAGGGCAGACTTCAGAAGGTTTGGGCTCTGAGGAGCATCCAGACTGTTCCATGCCCATCGGAACGATCCAAACGTGGGTGTGGGTCTGAGTGTAGGGATGAGAGCAGTGGCCTGGGATCACTAAATCCAGGGGTGACCAAACGGTGCATTGGCTAGCTGGCTTGCCTCCCCACCGTCCGCAGGTGTCAGCGTCTGGAGTCAGTCCTCCCACCATGGTGCAACAGGACCTAATAACCTGACTGAGCTTCCCTTTTAAGTTTAGCGTGCCACTTTTGGCCATCCGATGTTTCAGGCAGGATGATCTCACTTAAGGTGGGCTGTGTGTGGATGAGATGGGGCCAAAGGGAAAGTTGAAGACTCATCTTGAGGGGAAGGGGTCCCTTCAGAAAATGTGCAAATCCTGATGGAGCAGAGTGCCGGGACCAGGTGGACCTTGATGCTGCCTTGATGCAGGCTTCTGTTTAATACCATGTAGTGCTGGCTGTTAATCTATTTTTCTCATCAAGAATAAAGGATGGTAGCAGTTAGAGATGGAAAAGACTCATTAGCCTAAGTCCAGCCCCGTATGAAGGTAGGATAGACTCCCCCAGAGAGGGATGATTAAGGCCAAAATGCCAAGAAGTGGTGAAGTTAGACCCAAGGTCAGGTCATTGCTTAGAACATTTGAAAGGACTAGCAAAGCACTAGTATGGGTCCAATATGGCCAAACCTGTATTGCCAGGGAGGTCGCCTAGATGATGTATGTCTTCCCCTTTTCCAACTTCCACGATTAATCCCAGCTGGCTGGGAACGTGGCCGTTAGTTATTTTGTTAACATACCCTGACTTGCCTCCCTGTATCTCTTCAGTTCTTTGAGACCCAGGAGTACGAACGGATAAACTACTTCCGCAATGCGCTGTGGCTGCACCTTAACCAGCTCTCTCAGGAGTGCGTCCAGAGTGATGAGGTAGGTCTGAAAAACCCAAGGCCCTCCAAACCTTTTATTTGCCGAGCAGAAGGGGAAGGTTCTTCACTCGCATTGCACTGTCTTCACTGCTATTGTTACCTGGGCTTGCTATCTTCAAGCTAGTTCAGGTAGGGTGGTCTGCGCACGGCTTTAGCTTTGTTGATATTCTCCTAGATAATCCAGCAGATAGCAATAACGAACACCCAGTCAATAGTGTGGAACAGGATTTGAAATCCTGTCTCCAATGAAGTCAATGGCAAAAGCTCCCGTTGCTTTTATTGGGGCCAAGATTTTCACCTCTTGTATTATTGACACTTATTTTGCTGATGCAAATTATATCCTTTCTCCTTCCAGAAAGACAAATTAATTTTTGTTTCTGCACTTCATGCTTTTTAAAAAAAAAAAATTTTTTTTTCCTTTTTACAGAGATACGAAGAAACCCGGAGGAGTCTAGAAATGTGCAGCATCGAGAAGGATATCGAATTTTTTGTCAATTTCCGTAAAACCGGAAGTATGCCCCCAGGTAACTGCTTGATGTAGGTTTTCTAAGTGGTGTGGCCATGAGCATTCTGTACAGCTTCTCGGCTCTAGTAAGGGTATGGGGTTTATTAAACAAAGCGTGGCGCAGAAAGCAAGCACGCTTGATGGTTCTGGTTCTGTGTTGGTCTCAAAATGAAGCCTGTTTCTAGAGTGGCATCCTTGCACCGGGATAGCAGGCAATTGCCACCAGACCCTGAAGAGAACTCAAACCTCATTTCTGTAGGCTTTGGTTTCTAATAATACAGTTTTTTCAGCGTGGAAGGGATGGAGCTGAAGAAAGAATTTGCATCTCCCGTTGTGCAGATGTGATGCTGTACATTGCATGCCAGTGGCTCACAAAAACACTTTTTACAGCTGACTTGTATTTCTACCCCCCCAGCTCCTGTGGTCTATGAAAATTACTATAACACACAAAGAAATACAACTTCAACAAGAAATCAGGCCCCAGCACCTGGGATAGGGAGGTAAGAATAAATAAACCCAACACAAACCAAATAATAAAAGCAATGGCCTGGCTATTAGGAACCTATAGGTTAAAAATGGGTGTTGCTTCTTTAAGTCTTTTGGAACTGTTTGGATCTTAGGCTCTTTCAGGGTCCCATAGAAGTTGGTGGGTGTTGGGGTACGTGGTCAGCGGGGAGGCAGGGCAGGTTGGGAATTTTGCCTGGATTGAGTCCCCCTCTGTACCAGGAAACCCTCTGAGATCTTGGGCATTGGTTTGCCACCTCCTTTGCTCCCTAGCCCGTCCCTGCTGCTGGAAACCTTCCTGCATTCCTTGCATGGCTCCCTTCTCCCCATGTTTGTCTGGGGAGGGCTGGATCATCTAAGAACACATGCTCATGTGGGCAAAGGAGAGAACCTAAATCAGCTGCACTGGGAGAGCAAGGGAATCTGCTGACCAAAGAGGGGAGTTGGGCTCTGGATGAAGGACGGGTCTGCTGTGGGGAGAGAAAAGGAACTGAGAGCACCCTTGTCATCACTGAAGACTAATGTCCATGGCTGCTTTGCAGTAGGAGTCAGTCACAATAATGACTGGGGTTGAAATACTGAACTGTCTAAATGATGGCATGTTTGTGCGTGAAGCCCCACGGTTCACACTGTGAAGGGCTGTGGCTAGCCACCGCTTTTCTTCCCCACCCCACCACAAAAACTACCCTCTGGTGGGACTGGGGCTGCCTGGTTCTTGCGTCTTATCCGCTGCTAATGACATTGCAGGAGATTAATAATATGGCACACTTTGAAACTGGGACATTGCAAACCTCAAACCAACCAAAGTTCTCGGCACTCACAATCTACCAGAAATGCCATGTGGGGCTGGGCAAGAATTGAATAATATGAAAGAATCAGATCATTTAGCAACAAGGAGACGAGTGTTGTCTTGTTTGTTTTTGTGCAGGAGGGGGCCATTACCAATCCCTGTGAGTGGGCCAGGTGAGTTACACCAAGTCATTCTAGAAATCACACATTTTAAAGCATTTTTTTGTGCAATCCTCTCTGTATTTCAATTTTTGCAGGTTCTGTGTGTAATTCCATTGCCATGTAAATATTGGTGATCTTGCCTGATTCTCATATCCCCCTGATCATTCGAGCCATTGGGGGGAGGGATAGCTCAGTGGTTTGAGCATTGGCCTGCTGAACTCAGGGTTGTGAGTTCAGTCCTTGAGGGGGCCATTTAGGGATCTGGGGCAAAAATCTGTCTGGGGATTGGTCCTTCTTTGAGCAGGGGGTTGGACTAGATGACCTTCTGAGGTCCCTTCCAACCCTGATATTCTATGATATCTCTGAAAATGTTGTTCCAGGCACCTGTTAGACATAGAGGGTGACATCATGGCTCCATTGAAGTCAATTGGAGTTTTGCCACTGATTTCAATGGGGCCAGGAGTTCACCCAGCAAGAAGTTCCAACCAAAGTCCTGGATATGGACAGTCCTGAACTTTGAGAAGGCAAGATCTGGACCTGAAGGCTGCAGCTTGGGCTCTTCTCTACTTGGGAAGCATCAATTTTGTTATTTGCAGTGTGGCGTAGTAGACAGGGCCCTGGACTGGGACTCAGAAGACCTGGGTTCTGTTCTTGGCTCTGCCACTTCCTATTGGGTGACCTAGATCAAGCGCTTTATCTCTGTCTGCTTCTGTTTCCCCATCTGTAAAAATGGGGATAATGCTAGCAACCTCTTTTGTAAAGTGCTCTGAGCTTTATGGATGAAAAGTGCTATGTAACAGCCAAGTGTTACTATTGTGATTTCTATATTACAGGTGACCCTGATTACGCTACGATTGATGGTTACAGTTTAATACATCACTAGCCTGAGCTGTAAGTATTTTCATTCTGAAAAGGAATTACTTGGGGCCTGCGTTAGTCCCACCAGTGAGGTGTAGGGTCTAGTCCTCACCAGCATGTTGCGCACTAACTGCCCCGGGGAGACCCTGCTAGTGTGCACTCAGAGGTCCCTAGTGTGTGTTAATGTAGTCCGGTTTCAACTATGTCAGTGCTCACTAGGGAACTTTTAGTGCGTGTCAGCAGGGTCCACACAGCCCAGTTAGTGCACGTCACACTTGTGCGGACTGACACGCTGCACAGACAAAGTGCAGGACACACTTGTATATTTAGGAGAGACAGTTAGGAAAGAGAAATATAGGCTGGATATCTGAGAGAACTTCCCAAAGGTGAGATTGCATAGGTTGTGGAATAGTGTCCCATGGGAAGAATTGAAGGTCCCATCCTTTGGTATTTTAAAAGCCGCTCGGACTCCTGCCCGATCTGCCGAAGCAAAAAAACAAAAGCGCTCCTCCTGCCGCGCACCCCCAAGGATCCTATTGCGCACTCCACTTTGGAGACCACTGCTGTAGTGGAACAATCCTGCCTAGGTTGGGAGGGGGACTGGATGATCTAGCTGGCTGCTTTTCCTCCCATCATTACATTTGTCTATGTTTCTTTCACTGAAATATTGACTCTTACAATTCCATCCTCTTCTCCAGGGTCTCAAAGCTGCTTGCCCAGTAGTGCCACTGAGTGCAAAAATTAGTCGTCTGATCCACCCATCAGAGACAGTGTATTCAGTTGCAATTCCAGCATCGGGCACAGTGATACAGCATGGAACTGTTTCTTCTTTTAAAAAATATTTTGAAACTCTAGGGTAATTATTTTGAATGTTTTGAGGATCCACACGAGGTCCAACAAGGTCCCTCTTCCTTCACGGCGACAAACTACATGGGCTGATGTCTTATTTTCAAGGTCAGAAAGGAGGACATTGAATCTCTGAATAATATTCGCTGATCCAATGGAATCTTCCCTATCAATAAGAGAGGCTTGTGTTCTGGTGTTGGTGACAGTTCTTTGTGATGTGCAAACCTCAACATCTGTGTGGAAGACTCTAAAGGATTTAAAAAAAAAAAGAATCTCTGCTCACCATGACGACTGAGAATTCACATGTGCCACCATCATGCTGCCAATGGGAATTATGTGCAGTGCTTTGGGCATGCCGGGGCGTGTGCATAGTACACAGGTCAAAGTAAGGTTTGGGTCTGGTACGCTTGATTTTCACCAGGGTGATTAAGATCATAGCCTAGCCCTAATTGTGGGAGTGCTCATTAGACTGCTTACTCATGGCAACGCTGAGAGTTAGAACTCGAGAGGTATTTATATGGCTGTACTGTGCATTTGCTCCAGGCTACGCAGTGATGTTGGAAGAAGTTGATTCATATCTTGTCTCTATCTATCACGCTTCAGGAGCCTGTTTGGATTACATGAATGGTCCGTTGACTTCAATATGGGTTCTGATGAGAGGAAGGTGAACAAGTTATGGCCCTTCAGTAGTTACCTACCTCCCTTCCCTGGTTCTACTGTGGCATAGCAGTACAATACAAAACCATCCTTGCAGGTCCAGGCTGGTGACTCCTCCATTCTTCTTGAATAACTGGAGGACATGAGCTGGCCCCCCGGAGAGGTACATCCGAAGGCAGGGCTTGCCGCTGTTCAGCTACCCACCACTTAGCCTGCCCTCGACAGATTCTGCAAACTCCAATCAGGCTAATCTGTGTGAGCAGCTGGACTCTTGGGTGCATTTTTTGACCAGGACCCAGAGTCAGAACCTCATGAGGTTTTGCCCATTGGAGGCAACAATTCAGGGACATTGTCCGCTGCTTTTTCTATCTTTTGTGTTCCACTGTCCAATACGCTTGAAAATAAAAGAAATAATATATTCTTATTGCCTTTTCCTGTCTCCATTTAGCAAACCTTTCCCCACTCCCCCCATTTCTTGGGGTCTGATCCTGCTCCCATTGAAGTCAATGGCAGAATTCCCATTTGTTATCAATGTTGTGGGATCTGGCTCTTTCGTTTCTAATAAAGCACAAACTAACTTGGTTACTGTTGTTGGCCTAGCTGCAAAGCTCATTTCCTGACCAGAACTTCCCCAGCCTTCATGTCCATGTCCATCTCCATTGGCTGTTACCTGTCAAGTGCACAGACACTGAAGAAGTCTGCCCATTTGTGTGTAGCTCTTGATGCGAGCGTGTACAGGTTTTAATTTCTTGCTGTAGAGCAACAGGGATGATTCTGCATCAAATTGTGTCTGAGCTATGTGTGATTTTGTACAAACCTAGGGAATGTCGCTTTGTTTCCTTGTGTGGGAAAGACCCCAATGTGATAAGTGAGATTTGAATTCTGCCCTGCTACATTTTAATGATCTGTATGAAATGCACAATTAGAGGAATACGTTGTCTTATAAAAAAAACCCTTTAAATATCCTGATATAATTGTATATTGTAGATTATTTTTAATCTCAATCTCTCTCTATATATATATTTATTTCAGATGTGAGGCTTGCATACTGAACATGTAATTATATATGCTCTAAAATACACTTCAATCTGGGGGGTGAATTTGCTCCTCCGTCCTGCATGTAAAGGCCTGGACAGACGGGTTATAGCCACAAGTACAATGTGCAGGCAGGAGGCATTGAAGATTACAGAGCTCTGCTACTGCACCTTTTTCCTGATCTAACCTCTCTCTGCTCTGCCAGTCCCTGTCCTCCCTTTGGATCTCGGTCCTACACTACAGCCCACTACTCTTTCAAATCTCCCCCCCCCAAGAGTTCTATCGATGTTTCCCAACCCAATCGATCTGAAGTATTAATTGAGCACTGGTCATTGTAGCATGTAAGTGCTGGTCTGTGTTCCAATTCTGCTGGGCCTTTGATGCAAACTTGCCAATGCAGCACAACCCTCTATGCTATTCCAGTCCTGGGTCTCCAAAACCATTCGGCCAGTGCACCTCAATGCTCACCTTGACCTTGCTGGGGTATGGACTTCTGCTTTCCTCCCGTTCTGGAATGCGAAGCCACTAGCACATATACTGTGTCTATTCCAGTGCAAGACACCTACAGATGTATGGAACTTCAGTGACTGGATCTCCATATATGATGGCCCATTGGGCAGACTCTGTTTTTTCTCTTGCCTCAGTTTGGGGAGGGAGTGGGGGTGGGAAACTGATACCACAGGATCCTGTAAATGCAAGTGAAGCCCTGACTTTAATGTGGTTGAAAATGATGATGTAACACTCATTGAATTTAAACAGTGGTTCTCACTCTTTTCCATCCTAGGCCCCCTTCCCATCTAGCTGAAATCTCCTACCCATTTAGCAACATGGGAAGGATGGGGTGATTGTGATCCCAACATTTGTTTGTGACAGTCCCTATCCCTGTTCTAGTAGTTGCAACTCCCAAGATGAGAACCCCTTATTTAAAAGATGCCAGAAGCTGATCAAGCCTGGATTTCATTTGTAAATCCAGACCACAGAGCATTAAAAGAACAAACAGGTAAAGTGCAGATGAGAAAATATATCATTATTTATCATTGTATTGTTACAAATGCACACCAGAATAGATGATACCACCTAGCACTTATGTAGTGCTTTTTCATCATTTGTTCTCAAAGTGCTTAACTAAGGAGATCAGTATAATTATTCCCATTTGACAGGTGGGCAAACTGAGGCATAGCAACTTGATCAGTCACCTAGCAGGTCAGTGGTACAGACAGGACTAGAATCTACGTCTCCTGAGTCCCAGTCCTGCATTCTCTCCACTAGGCCACACAGTCTCAGCATGAGAGAGAATTGGTAGTAGTGACCAAATGTTACTTCCATCTGAAAGATGTAGAAAGAGAATTGACCCCAGATCTACAGCTAGGGCCTTTCATTAGAGATTACTGGGATGGCAGAATAGTAAGGTCAGGACCATAGTATAAGAACTAGTACTCAGAAGCATATTGTACAAGAAGCTCCTTTTCGCTGCTGGGATTTCCAGGTTGACTCAGGGCAGTAGATGGTCTTAGTTTGTTTCTTGCCTACAAAAACTGCAGCTCAATAACTTTCAAAGTGGTGCACTGCGTTTTAGGCACATAACTCACAATAACTTTAATGGAAGTCATGCAGCTAAACCCACGTGCATCACTTGAAAACTGGAGGGGTTAAAATGCAGCCCCATATTAGTTGCCCAGGAGTGATGCTCCTATCTCAGTTCTGAGAGTAGGGAGAGCGATTATTTACTTATTTAGGACTCCAATAAAGAAGTGCTTTTCGAAAGGATCTTTTTAGTTCAGAGTGTAGTTAATCACAGGGCAATGTCATGCACATTTGAAATGTGGATCGCTTCACTGTATTTGCTCTCTGATTTAAAGAAGCCAGTCCTGAAAGCAAAAGCCAAAAGTACGAGTATTCTGCCCAGCCAATCTTAAAGAGAAAGCAAGCAAGCTGCCACCAAAAATCAAGGTTCTTCTCTGAGTTGTCTTAGAGAGTGTCTAAAATCACTTCAAAATCAATAGGTCAGTACTCCCTAGATAAAAGAGGAAGGTGTGAAACCACTAGCAACGCAATATTGAGTTCAGTTTTTCAGGAGGTGAATTAGGATGGTGGTAGGCATGTGGAAATACTTTCATTTCTAGCCTGATGTTTTCAGTTTCTAAAGGAGTCTGGAAAGGCAGATGGTTTCAAACCGTAAAATGTTAATGATAAAAATGCCAAGTGTGGTCAGTGGCTATTGGGAAAGCTTTTTATTATTGTGATTAGAGCAGTCGTATGTAAGAGTGTGGAGGTAAATTTGGAATCTACCTGAATTTATTAAGAGTTTAGTACAGCTGGGCTAAAGTGAAAGTTCACAAGCAGGTGGTAGAAGGAAGCTTTCAATCTGGGGCCGCAGAACTCCACCAACCAATACCCCCCCAGCCCTGCAGCTGCAGTAGGCTGCAGAGTTACAAGTGATACATCACCAGAAAAAACAATGAGGAGTCCTTGTGGCACCTTAGAGACTAACACATTTATTTGGGCATTAAGCTTTCACGGGCTAAAACCCACTTCATCAGATGCATGGAGTGGAAAATACTGTAGGGAGGTATAAATATACAGCATATGAAAAGATGGGAGTCACCAGAAAAAATTGTCATTGGATGATTGTTTCCAAGGCATGACATTTGCTAGCTGCTTTTGGAAACAGTAACTTTTATACAAATTAAACCTCCTGTGAATATCCTGCTGTATTTTTCTGTGCACTTGCAGCACCGAGATTGCTGCGTTCTATGTTAAAGCTGTTAACTGAATGAAAAGAGAATTTGAGCTAATTTGGAAATTAAAGGCAAAACTCTTTCTTATCTGCGCTGCAAATTGCGATTGCATCTTTGCTACTCATTGTGTGAACTGTTATTGACACCAGTAGACTTGCCAATGTTGTAACCAATACAACAGAGCCCTGCAGGGCAGGTAAGTGATCTGTAGTGTGACTCAGATGGAGAGAACATTAGTTAGCGGCAATCAGAATTGTAGGGTAGCTAAGCTGTTGTGGTACAGAATAGGACATCAGTTAATGTGTCACAAAGATATGACTCACCACTGCAGTAAAGGAGAGGAAAAAAAAGCATGAAGTAAATTAGTGGAAGTTATTTTTGCTTATGTTTGCCTATCTTTAATGGGCTTCCTAACCAGGATTTTGGCGCAATGACAAAAGACACAAATACGCCACATCCCTCAAAGACTCCAAGGTCTTTGAATTATACCCATTGCATAGTGCGCTAGGATTTTAAGGCCTTGTATGATTGGATCCATAGACCTTGCTGCAGATTTTAGCAACCATGCATACACAGTTTAACCTGTGCCTGAACACCATGTGGTAGGTCAGTGTGGCTAGATCCAACGCTGCTGGAATGCTGGGGTTGGGGAAGGGGGGAAATGTGCTATCCAGTAACATCACAACGACCTACTGTCTCATTGCTTGGAAAACACAGCAGAACTGCTTGTTTGCAGAGAGATCCTTACAACATACTTGTACAGAACTGTTTTTTGCTAATAGAAAACGAATGAGTTTTGACTGTTAAATTATCTGTGTGATGAGACTTGTCTGTGCTGAGTAAGATGCGCAGTGCTATAAATGATAACAAATGGGTGCTGAATGGGCTGCTTTGGCATTTTATTGGATTGTTTTGTAAACTTGTAATGATTTGTTTGTCATGTTAATTAAGAGCTAGCAGTTCCCTGCTATCATTTTTCTGAATAGTTAATAAAATGGCCATGATACATGTCTGTGTGAAGCTGTTCATCACTTATCAAGGTGATCAAAACTCCTTTGGTCTAGTGTAACCTGTCAGGGTGGTTGTGTGTGCTGTTGCAGGGCAGGGTGTACTTGGAGTCGCAAGGATTTGGATGTGTGTGAGTGCCTGGGATAGTGTTAGGGGTCATGTGCCTGGCATTGCTGCTGGCAGG